TTTTCTTTTCCTCCATTAGTTGACTGATCTTTGATTTTAGTACTACAATCTTCCAACATTTCAATTTCCTTTATAATAAATCATAACATTGACCATCCAATTAAGTTGTATTTGCCCATGCATCCCTTTCAACAATTATTCATTATAAATTATTATGTCTTTTATACATACATACATATATATATATATATATATATATTTTTTTTTTATATAAATCAAAATGGTTGGGTTGGTTTCGATTTTAAATTAAATCGACCTAATCTATTTAAATATATATTTTATATTTAAAACTGTTAAATAAAGATATTCTAGTTTTACATAAAAATTGAAATATCTGACAACCCAAACTTGCACCACACAGGCACATGGGCCATGGGGGGCATGGATGAACTTAGAGCCAAAACCGACCAAAACTGATCCAACCTGACTCAAACCGACCAGGTCAGTTTTGCTTAACACTGGGTCAGTTTCGGTTTCCATCTCAGATAACCCGATCAGGTCGGGTCGGTTGGAAAAACCTCAGTAAACCGACCCAACCCGACCCATGAACAGCCCTATTTATAGGAAAAAACTAAATATTCACCATATTTTTGGGAGTAAAGTATTTCTTGAAAATTTTCATTTCTTGAATATTTTTGGAAAGTTATCTTAATTGTTGATAGAAAAGCGAAAGGTGTAAACAATTTCATTTCTTTAATATCATACAAATTTTTATAATAGAAATAAATATAAAAAAAATAGTATCATTTTTTTCAATTGCAGATGGTCATAATATATCCAAAATTTTCAATAATGTATCCAATTTAATTATTTTTTAATTTGATTAATAAAAGTATCATAAATGTATCTAATTTAATTATTACTATTATTATCATTATTTAGACAACATGCAAAATAATAAAAAATGTGTCTAATTTATATATATGATAATCATAAGGTTGTATGGAATATCAAATAAATTGAAAATATATAATTTGATAAAATAAGGAAAATAAACTCAATCTTAAGGGGTGTTTGCTAATATGTACGATAATCATATTTACCGAGTATACCTCTTTACTGTACGAACCAAATATGAACAGCAACTGTGTGATGTAAATTTGTATTTGACAAAAAAGAAAAAGTTCTGTTCTTTTTCATTAAACCCCATTATTCATTTTTGGTGGGAAGTTGTCAAATAGTTGAAAAAAATAGAATGAATACAAATAAAAGAAAACCTAAACACTAAAAATTCAAAAGTAAAGACACTCAAGCGCCGTCAGTTTAACCTAGATTATCATAAAAATTAACAAAAAATATGAAATCAACTATTGATAATGGAACCAAATAGGAGCATATAGCTTCTTTGGATCTTAGAGTATAGATTTGTCGCCTTCTGGTAGGATTGAATTTGAGCCAAATTGAGTTGAATATTTGGCTATTCAGTTGTGCTCAGTAGAAAAACATGAGTTCAAATTCAGCTGAAGCTTGTTAATGAGCTAAGCTTCATATAAGAAATAAAAATCATACGAATAAAATTAAAATATCATATAAGCTCAATTAAATTCACAAGCTTCACGAGGTAAGCTTCATTAAGTTCACAAGCTTCAGTAAACCGCTGAACTGGTTGGTTAATCGTTTGAATTGTTTTGATCGTTTTTCAATTTTTTTTGTCAGAACAGGCTAACTGTTCGGATCGAACGGTCGGACCATTCGAATCGGTAATCGGACCTCTGACTGGTTCGGTTTTAAAAACCATAATCATACATATAGATATCCCATTAAAAATAAAATCATGTATACATACATAAATGCATACATGCATACATGCATGCACACACATACAGAACTACATAGATACATTTATAGATGCATGTCAACACTTTAACATATATGGGGTTGAATCTAAGTTGAGTTCAGCTGAGTAGACTTAACCTTAACCCGAGTCCAGATCTCCTGCTCACATCTACCCACATAATATCACAGTCACACATGAAAAATATCTTATCCTCTATATAGTATCATGCATGGGGAGATGTTCCCGATGCATGTTTGGTGTATTGTGAGCAGGAGATCCGGAGTCCCTTAACCCTAATCTGAACTTCAACCCAATCCGACTTTCTTGGATGTACGGTGAATGATAATATGTAAGGACCATATCATATGCATCTGAGGTTCCGGCAACGCCGCCGAGTATGATTGAGATAAAAGTGATGGGGATTTGTGTAAGCGGATGGTCCCTGCAACAGACCATCACTTGGTCATGTTACATTGTTTTCTTAGATTTATATGCATTTAGAAGCAGATCGTGGTTCCAGAAAAAAGCCGTTAATTAATTTCTCCCTTATTCATTCCCCTTTTATTATCCATCCAAAGATCTCACTCCCGATCCCTTTCAAGGTTTCCATCCAAAGCTCTCTCTTTCTTTCAAACTTCTCACTCTGTCTGTCTGTCTGTCTGCCTTTCTGTGCGGTCTGTGTGGGTTTATCCTCTTTTTTTTCATCTAAGGTTAAAGCACATGGGTGGAGATTCTCCATTAAAGAAAATCAATTCAAAAGTTGGAGACAACGATGCTTATAATCGATGGAAAGTGAGAGGGCTGTTGAATCATTGCTTCCCTTTTCTTATCAACTTCTGCACTACAAAAGCAAATAACAAATCTAGCCTCTTCAAAATCCTTTAATACCAATGCTATCCCTTAGCAAATTACTATAATACCCCTTTAATCCCCTTCATTAAGGGTGTTTATGATTTGGTTAACTGAACCATAGACTTCTTTATAGTCCGAACCATTCTTTCGGTTTTTTGAAACCAAAATCTAAATCGAACCAAAAGCAATCGGTTAATGGATTGACTAGTTTGTTTTTTCGATTTTTTTATTTTTTAATTTATAATATATTATCAATAAATATATAAATATATAATATAAATACTAGAAATATATGTAACATATTAAATTATAAATAATATATAATATATATGAAAAAATATATAGAATATATATATATATATATATACCGATTGATTCGATTAACTACCGATTTTTTGGTTTTTTTATGACCACCCCTATCACTCACCTCTGAATTTGATCTATCTGACCTGATTTCTACACAAAGAACTAGTTTAACCCAAGTTTGTTCTAATGGTTCAACCCATGTACAATATTGAGTCGACAGGCCACATGGGTTTTGGCTAAAATTAACTAATCCTAATTTGGATAAAAACTGCTAAAACCCAATATCTAATCCAATTTGAGTTAAATCAACTGAAACAAATTAATTAAAAAAACTAAAACCTGGTCAAATCGGGTCAATGGGCTGACCTATATGATACGCCATTCACTAGATTGAATTCAAATGAAATTTTGTTAAATATCTGTCCATCCTTCCTGAGAGCAAAATGGTGGGTCCATCCAAAGCTGCTGCATTTCATCTGAAGATGGTGGATTCAAATATTCTACTCAGTGGAAAGAAAAGCAAAGCTCACCTGTTTTACTATTGCTGGGCTATACCGTTTTAATCTAATCATGAAAAGTTCAGACTTTTTCTATAAGAACAAAGTGCTTAAAGACAAGCCCACTAACTCTAGTGAAAGCTAGAAGTGCATTTTTGAATGGTGGAAAGTGAGAACTAAGTTCGATGTACCTCAACTGATTTGATCCTTTCAATCGATTCCCTTGGATTTTATTCTTGTACGACATAAATGTGTCATTGACCAAAAGGAAAATTGAAATGCGATAATTTAGTATCCAAACTTTTAAAATATATTAATCTAGTATTTGTCATTAATCAGCCATTAAATGTCATTTGAAAATACATAAATACCCTTCAAGTGTCATCTAATTCTCTTTATCAACTATTCAAACGTTGACAAAAAATAAACAGTCCCAAATCTTTGCCTCTTTTGTTCAAGAAAGTTGGGGTCATTAGAATGTCCACTGAGACGTAACTCCAACTTTCTTAAATAACAGAGGCAGGTATTTAGGACTGTTCATTTTTGCCAACGTTTGGATGGTTGGTAAAGAGAATTAGAAGACAATTGAAGGGTATTTGTGTCTTTTCAAATGGCACTTAACGGCTGGTTAACGGACCGATTAATGGCAGGTATTAGATTGGCACGTTTTGAAAGTTTGGGTGCTAAATTATTGCATTTTAAAATTCGATGACCAACGTGGCACTAGAACCAAAGTACAGGATACTAATTTGGGCCCTAAGAAAATCTAAATCAAACCAATGAGCATTAATAGGAAGCTTATCTCGAGAAGAGAAAGAAAATCTATACCACCCCACCCAATAATGTGTAGCCTCTTAGCGGATGTTTGGTATCCATGAAGCTTATTTGATATTTGCTTTAAACATTTTTCAACAATTCAATGTCACTAACACCATTAGGCGTCCCATGTGCCAAACAGTAAAAAATGCCTCAGAAAATAAAAATTGATAAATGGCTGTTATGTTTGTGCCTTGAATTCTTTATTGCGACCCGCTTCATGAATTCGCTCCGAATTAATTTGAGAAAAACCCGAAGGTAAATTTTCATAATGGTTTGTGGTAGATGCATAGGTAGCCCACCATAAATCACTATTAGGGGTGTGGGGGCACAGCCCCCACAACGGCATGGACTCGACCCATATTCATCTTATAGGTCCGAACCGAATATAAAGAGTTATGCATTTTTCGGGGGTTTTCTCTTTTGTATACAGAGTCTAAGTCTTGTGAGAGACGAGTGAGACATTGGGTGTATTTGAGGCTTAGGGTTTTCTATGAGAGCACAACTCTGTATTTTTTCTCCATTACCAACTTTATAGTGGATTTCTATTCCTCCTTCTCCCGTGGACATAGACTATAAGCTGAACCAAGTAAATCTGTGTGTGTTCTCTATACTTGTTTCTCTTTATCTCTGTTTTACTTTCATTTTAAGTGCCATTCGAATCTGTTTTCTTGGGTTTTTTCACAACAATGACTCTCATGTAAATTGAAATAAACATCTATCAATTAAATGGATCAATCAAACAATGAATTAATCAACTGAGTGGTGGCTCGATTAGCATGTTAGCTGGGTAGTCCCACCAGAGAAGTAGGATTCAAATCCTGCTATTATCAATTAGGTTGAAAAGTTAGTGTGTATTGTATCAAGTACAAAAAAAAAAATCAAACAATGAATTGAACATTTTTCTGTTAAATGCGGCGTTGAATTGATGTTGATGCTCCGAAAAAACACCACGATACCGAACACCACCTTAGAGTCCGATCCGATAAGCAGGCATGCCATGCTGCCTTGATGGGGTAAATCTGAACCAATTAACCATCTATCAGATCCCACCAACTCATTTCGCATTCCTTTTACTGCAGAACAAAGTGCAAAAGACAATTTAGTGAAACTATTTCAGCAGAAAAATCAAAATACATATAAAGTTGATCACTTACATCAGGGCCATTGGTTTTTTGTTTTCTCAGCCTTAATAACATCTAGACCCCACCAATGTATTCTTAGTGAGGGCCCACTTGACACAGAACCCTAAGCTCAAGTAGATCATTGGGTTGTAGTGAGAAGCCTGTTAGCTTGTAGCTGGATCTGTCAGTTCTGCTTTACAAGTTGCAACTGGCAACTGTATTCAATGGTCAGGCCCCTGGATCCTGTAACTGCAGCCAGCCACCATGGGTTGGCGGTTGACCCGGGCCGGTCCCTTTCTGGGTTGACATCTGGACTGGTCTGGTAACTATTGAAGGCATAGATAGGATCAAGGAAGACTGATGAAAATTTTCATTACCTACCATGTTCATCAATTGTTGACAAGGACAAAATCTGTAAATAATTTTTTTTTTAATTTTTCCATCCAATGAATGGTAGACACGTAGGCAGCCATCTGGATAAATTGCTACATCGTCCGGACACCGGAACTTATGATCGACGATTGAACCAAGATTTACTAAAGTAATCATCTCAAGTCTCGAGTCCCAACCACCTTCATTAGTTCATTTATTGCAGAATGCTGGACATCAGAAGATTAGTTGTAGCTGGGTCTTCTTCAGTCTTCACATAGAAGAATGAAAAGGCGAAGGCATCACAAACTCTCTCTGGTAGAAAGTGATGGTCTCTCCATTGATGTCCCTAACAACAAACCTTACAATGCTCACAACAACCTCAACTCAGAGACTCGAGCCAAATTATGGCCAATTCTCAGTACTGAGATCCTAACAGAATTGTTTAGAACCATAACCTCAAATTCCAAACCCAGGAACTAAAACAGAAGCAATGACTGTATATATGTTTATATACAAAGAGATGGATCATCTTCTGGAATAAACTGGAGGGGAAAAAATAGAAGAAGAAAACAGAACTCATCAATACTGATCACTTGGTGCCTCAGAGATGCTTTCCAAATGAGGTCTCCAGATACCGACACGCCCTCGCCTCCGATCTCTTTGTGTGGATATCTTCTCCGACAGGATCTCGGTCAGGTACTGATCAGATATCAGAAGCTTTGCTACGGCAATTGAAGAATTTCCATTGCTCTCCTGTTCTCTCTTCTTCTTCCTCTTGTTTGAACCTGTAGGCTTAGTCTTCTCGGGTGGTGAGTTCATGGGCATGAGAAAATAAATCTTCCCACGTTGAAGCTCAGCATCAGGAGGCAATATCACGATTTTTGGGACGACTCCGTCGTTGGACTCCGATGGCGAGGAAGGTTTCCTCAAGACGTGCTTAGGGTGTGCCTTCATGATCTCCCCTGCTTGAATTGTCCTACTGAATTCTTCGACATGGCCATTTGAGTGTACTATCCGAATTACATCGAGAGATCCACATGGAAGAATGCAGGAGATGCAGCATCTGATACTATTCTTCATAGCTCTTGTCTTCCTCTCTATAGCTCCCAACTTACACAGACACACAGACACAGAGAGAGAGAGAGAGAGAGAGAGAGAAAGAAGGAACAGCAATAGAAGAAATTAAGTGATGAATATTTATTAATTGGGAAGGAGAATGAGTACTCCCTTTTCTTTCCTCTGCATCACTGTCAATGAGGATGGGAATCAATCAACTAGAGCTATGGTAAGAAATAGTTCTATTATTATACTTCTTTTTATTTTTCTGTTTTTGGGGATTTTTTTTTCTTGCTTAGGATGAAATCCATGGATTGAATAATTGCACCTCATTCTGTACTTAATCTTTTGGATCCATCATTTAGGTGGCCCCTATTCTCCAACCCTCTCTTCTTGCCTTCTCTTATTCAATAATGGGGTGGGAGCTTTGTGGGTGACTCATGGTAGTCATTGATAGGGACCGCCAAGTAGGCGAAAACAGGGGATATAAGACGTCTGGTACCTGCTGATAGGTGCACACCTTGAACTCACCATGTGACACTTGTTCTTACATGGTTAGATGGGACAGGTAAGAGTTTGGTTGGGTGGCTACTGATGTGAGGACCTTGTTCAAAGATGAATGGAGAAAGAGAAAGAGAGAAGGAGGTGGGGGTCCTCGGAAAGAGATTTGTTTATGGAGGAGAAAGAGAGATGGTTTCATTTGGACTTAATGGTGTGAGGGGTAGGGCTTAGGACAATGAGGTATTGGGGCATAGAGAGATCTTCTTTTGAGGGTGTCATGATCTTTTCAACACTCCCAACTCAAGCAAGATGTGGAAATTGATTTTCATTGAAAAGAGGGGTCTGAGTCTGATGACTTTTACTTTATCATCTCTAGTGGTTGAGGGGAAGTGAAATGCTTTGACCCAATTGAAGACTGTATCACTGTACTGATGATAAGTGTCTCTCACTTAAAATAAGCATGGTGCTCTCCTGCAGCAATCATGGCGGGATCGTGGTACAAGAAGAAACAGTTACATGACAGAGAACTGACCCTCCATTATTCTCATCCATCTGAGCTGTTTCTACAGGCCACCTGAAATTAGACTAAAAAGAAAAAGAGATCTATTAACAGTGAAAAAAAAAGTTGGTCTGGTTTCTGGGCTACGACCCCTTGGCCCCCACCATTAAATTGTTAGGGTGGAGCAGTTAGTGGCAGCATGTGAGGTGTTGAAGAAGGTAGGTCCTTGGTGGGTGATGCTTAAAACTTAATCGTCTCTATTCACTTCTCAAAGCTAGTGACTTGTGGCACATTGGAACTGATTGAGGGTTTTGGAAAGATCAAAATGCCCTCTGCCCCCCCTATAACAAATCATAAACACATAAAGGATACAGTGAAGGGTATGAAATACTATGAAAGCAGTCTGGTTCCCATCTAGGAAAGGAATGGTTAGGTATGAGAAGGTATTGGGTGGTGGTCCTCTCCATACCTCATGGCCATCTCTCATTGAAGAAGGAACATGGGAGAAGCTCCTGCAGACCTACCAGACTTCGTTAGCATAGTTAATGTGTTCCCTTTATGTCTCTGCAGTCTGTGGTGCCAGGGTTCTCCATGGCAAATCCAGGAGTCCAACCATAGAAAACATCTAAATTAACCATGTATGTAGTTGTCATGTGTCCCCATGTGCATAAGTCCCATATTTCACCTTTTCCCTGAGAATGGTAGCCCTTGAGGCTTGAATTGTTTAAATTGGAAGTGAGAAACCCAACTCACTTTTTGCCAAAATATACCTTTTGCCATGTGCTAGAGGGCCATTGGGCCAAAACTTATCATAGGGTGTGATGTGGCCAAAGATATGAATCCGTTTTTTCGCCACCAGCTCGGCTGCCATGAGTTTGAAACATGTACAAAGAGGATGGTGCAGATTGCCTCCTATCTTATGAACAATGCAGGTACTGGTGCTAGCATGCCGGTCCGACTGGATGGATTAAAAGCAGGGATGCAACCTGGACTATGCATTTCTTAAACTTTGGAAGGGGCCAGGCCTGAAGCAGTGGAAATCCTTCAAAGTGGGTACCATCTTTCAATCCAAACCTAGAGTGTATAGAAACATGTTGGGATCAGAATCTTCTTACCTTTAGTTTTTTGAATAGGCTCAACTTCTTTGTACAAAATGATCTACCAATCTATTGTATGGAGTCCCAAATCAAGTTTATATGTTCAAGCATGAGTTGGGGCCTTGAATATCCAGATTGACTGTAAGTTCTGTAACTCCACCATCCTCTGTGTAGAAAATCAAATAAAATGAAATTAATAACCTTAGATGCAACCTTTTTGAAGAACATTTATAGGATTATTTTGGGGCAATATAAAGGAATAGGGTAAACTGAATGATTGAACTAATCTGATGGTCCACATGTTCACAGATTTATCTTAAAGATGTTTGTGTACTTAATGCTCTAGGGTCCCCTTACCAGCAATGGTTAAGTTGTTTTCTAAAATCCATACATATTAATTCAAAAATCAAAGTAATGAGAAAAGTCAGTCATAATGATGGGCATTATTTTCCTCAACCCTAGTAACAGCCAAAGATAGCATGATGATATTAGCTGCTTTTTCTCCAGTTTAATTCAACCATGAACTGTAATGGTCTAAACTCTCAGGCCTACTAATTATTATTATTAATATTTATTAACTATAATGTAAAAGAGCCTAATTAATAAATTTAGTTATAATCACATGCTTCTGTTTGGTGGGCAGTTATAATCATATGTTTTTCTTGTAATGTTTATATATCCAAATTTCATGATTCATCATGGTGAACTAACCATAGACTGGGTCTCTAATCCAACACATTCATGGTTTTATAGCCAAGTTTTCATCGATTTGTGCTTATATGTTTGTGGGGTGGGAGAGCTCGCTTGTAATAGCAAACTGGACACATCAGGTGAAGAAAAGCAGCTTTCATACGTTTTGGTGGAATTCTTCTGCATTAGCATTGCCCACAAATAGAGTGCTACAATCCCATTCAACACTTTTGATCTACATTGTCTATGTTAATATATAATAAAAGAATTTTGAATTTATAAATTTTATGTACTTTAATTTCAACTTCCTGTGATAACAACGAGAGAGAGAGAGAGAGAGAGATGGGCTTAGCAGCTAGTATAAGGGCTTAACCTAAACCAAGGCCAAGCCTTACATGGGCCCAAGCTGGGCTTCTAGGGATAGAAACTTAATAATGCAGTGTGTTATATAAATATATATCATAAAATAGTATTTTTAAGTTTCTAGGCCAAATTCAATTGTGTAGCCTAGACCACATTAGCATCTTGAATTTGCAAGCAATCAACAACTTTGACTTCTTTGTCCACTACGATTTCAAAAAGAGTTGGGAAACTCTTAGCCAAGGACCTCTATCTACACCATACATCAATCCATAATTTGACATGTTCTCCTTTTCTAATTTTGAATTTCACTCTTTTTGAAAACATATGATATGCCCTTTCAATCCTTTTCCAAACTAAGCACACCCATGGGATTAGTTTGAAGACCCTGGATCCCACCCCAAATTCCTTTCATCGTATCTAGCCTACACCACTATTTTGCACAACCCTCCTTGAGTTTCCCCAAACCTCCAAAACCACTTCCCTAGCAGAGCAGCATTGACATTCTTTACCTTTTTAACACCCAGCCCCCTCAGGATTTGAGCTTGCATATTTTGTAACAATTCACCAAGTGGTATTTGTTTTCCTCTTTCCAACCTCTTCAATGAAAAATCCCTTATTTTCTTTTTAATTGTATCTGCCATTGTTGTTGGGATTGGGTATAAAGACATAAGATTGGGAGGAAGATAACACACTTTTATCAAAGTAATTTTTCCTCCACAAGGACAAGTACTTTGCTTTCTAAGGGCAACTTTCCATTGCCCAACTAGCCAACTAATGTACCTCTCCCACATCCACTAGCTCACTTTTTTTCCAAGTTTACTTTCAGCCCTGAGACTATTTTAAACCATTTCAGCATAGCTATTACAAATTGTAACTATTCTTGAGATGCATCACAAAAAATGTATCATTAGCATATTGAAGTAAAATCACCTCCATTCTCTCATTGCCTACTAAACAACTTTCTATAAATCCTCCAACAACAACCATTTCACCAATTTGATTAGAGCTTTCATCACACACAGGAAAAGGGAGAGTGGGTCCCCTTGTCTAATTTCCATCAAACTTTTAAAATTCCCATGGGCTCTTCCATTCACCAAAACCGAGAAGGAAGGAGTATTAATAACGTACCTTCATCCAATTTCTTCATTTGGAACCAAAGTTCATCGTTGTAAGTATGTAGTCCAAGAAGCTCTAGTTCACTTGATCATATGACTTCTCTAAATCTATTTTACAAAGTAGATCATCCCTCCTACTTCTTAGTCTTGAATTGATTATTCATTTGCTACTAAAACCCCATCAGCCATTAGCCTACTTTTCACAAATTCCCTTGGCATTCTGAAATGATACAAAGTTGAATTTAGATTCCTTTCTGAAGATGCATTTGCATGAAATTTCTCCAAGATCTTCATAATATTTGAAGGGATGGGAGATCCATCATATGGATGGCCGAACCCTGCAAGAAGGTTGGGTGAAATTTCAAAAATTTCTTTCTCTCTCATCCGGGAATCGCATTCCATAATTTAGAAAACTGCATTTTCAAGATTCGTTCTTAAAACCAAACCAGACCATATCTACCAATAGGAAGTGAGGGATATACCTGATACGAAGTAGCAGTAACTCCCAACGCAAGTGTTCACGCCCAGAGAAAAGACCAAAACCCACTTCCACTGAAGATGACACAATGTGTAGTGAAGCATGATCAACAGGATGGTTCTTCACCAAGAACCTGAATTCTTTAGCAAGAATCGAGCAAGGACTGGTGAGCATAACTTCATATTGCTTCTTCTACTAAGAAGCAATATCAAGAACTCTTCTTCATCAAATCCACAAGTGGAGATCGAACTGGGTAGGGGCAGTAATATGTGGGGAAGAATTCTAAAGTTTGTTGTTGTGTGTTCAATCTGAAGAATTCGCCCCCTATTTATAGCCTTCTCTGGATCAGCCTCTTAATCTAATTAGGAGAGAATTTCCTAATCCAAATCTCATATTTGGATCTGGACTCTTAAATGGATAAAACTTATCTTATCCCTCAACTAATTCTAATCAGTTTAAAACTAAATTCACCCCCTTTTAATTAACTAACTTAAGCCCAGTTCGAATTGGGCCTTAGGCTCATTAAGGTTATGTGCTCACTTACTCTTTAATCTGTTGCCCAGTCGACTCTCTTTGTATGGCGTGGGACCCTAACATTGATCTACACATCAGCCACATGGGTTCAGCCCAGCCTTTATTACAAGGCCTGGCCGAATTCACCATATGTTACAGTGAACCCCTGAGTCCATCACCATGGGCTCTCAATGGGCCCAACATTTACACTAAATAGTTATTGGATCCAGCCACTTTATGAAAACCCAAGAACTGTGGGCAGATGCAAGATTAGCCCATCAGTCATTACCCTTAATGGTCTTACACTTAACCTCTCAACCCTTAATGATCAAACACTGCTTGACAAGAAATGACCTCTCTGTTGGCTGTAAGGTGCAGTGCTGCACTCTCTACTCACATGGATCCCGGGAATTAAATATATATTGCAAAAACAAATCTCAACGTTTGAAATCAACTGCTGGTAGTTTAGGTTTCCATCAGAGAGAGTGTATTACCTGATCATTCACTTTGTCCGACAAAGGGGTTGATTCTGTCACTATGATCACCCACTCAGGTGAATTCTCAGACTGCCCCAACATACCCAAATTTTGTCCCCCTCTAAGGATCTCACTAATTGGCATATCAAAGACAGCCTAATCCGACACCTAGTGCAATATCATAATCGAGTCTAGGGGTCAGGTGTAACTTTCCAGCTTTGCCCATCTGTCTCCAAGGTCTAGGGCAATACTGGAAATTGATCCGGTTTAGGGTTTCAAGAAAACCTACACTACATGTACCTCAGGTCTCACCATAGTAGCTGAGACAAGCCACCCCAACCAACTTGGTGGCATATCAGTGTTAGCCTTGGCAGGATAGACCTCCCCAGATCTATCCAATGGCTGTGAAGATTTTAAACTAACACGAGTCTCATAAGTGTCCAATTTATGGGTAAAAACACAAAAACATATCACAATGACATGAATCAATTATGTACTTTTATTCATTTACACTAAATGTCAAAAGGTACATCAATCTGATTGGAGCTAAGGGCATAATTGTCTAACAATATTTGCCTTCAAAAACTCCAAATAGTACTTGTAAAATGCCATTGTGAAGCCATCTGGTCCTAGTGCTAAAGTTGGATTACTTGAGAGGCTGATATCATCATTCATACAAATGATGACATCATTCTACCCATATTTGGGATCTGTTATTCATTCATTATTCTAGACCCTTCCAATTCTCTCTCATGCAATCACCCCTTAAGCAATTTTATCTTGTAAACATGCGAATATATTATTTAAAGTTTCTAGCATGTAAGGTGTGGCATTTGGGCAAAGCTATTTATGAATTTTGCCAATATGTAATGTCAAACTAGAAAAGAAATGTCACTCTTAGGAGGAATTTAATTAAGAGAATTGTAGTAAAAGTGTCTCATTTAGTAAAAAAAAAGATGGTGCATACTTTTTACCTTAATACATACAAAATATCATTTGAGACTAAAATCTTATTGCATTTCCACATTATCTATCAACTTGGTTACATGCCTACATGAGCGAATATTTATTCATTAGATTCAATTTTATAAACACAACAGTTGTTTATGGATTTTCTCTACGAATGGTTATTCCTATTGTGAGATCAAGTATTCAAATATTCATTTTTATTATTATTGTACTAACATATTTGTTTTTTATAGTGACACATAAAATTGAATTGAAAATTATTGTAGACAAATCTCATAATTATTTTGACTTTCTTGTAAGTTGTTGAATAAAAATATCCTAGAAATCAATTGGATCGAGATATTCAACTAAATACTTGTGATAACTAATAGCAAGCCTAATCTATGACCTAAACACAAAGATGAACTTGTTGTAACTCCATATGGGTACTTTTTTTAATTGCCCCATATCATAATGGAGATTACAATTCTTGATGACTCGCTCCATGCTTAAGATTGCAAAACCATTGTTTTGAATTGGGTGATAAGTCAATACCATTCACATGTGA